GACAACCGAACCTTGGGGGAGGCACACTCAAGCCATGTCCAAACCACACTCTTCTCTTCCACTCCGGTTCTCTTTCCCTCTGTGGTCAAAAATCTCCAAACTCCTCAAGCCTCTGCTAAGATGAAAGGTCACTCACTTGAAATTATTTGAATTTTTGCTGTGAGTTTCTCATGGCCTAGAGCTGACTTCTGGGAGGAAGCAAGTCCTTAGATGAATATTGGAAAGTGGCAAGCAACTTAGGCCACAATAGGCCATGGGAACAACATAAGATGTCTTCTTCTTGGCATGGAAGTGGGACATGGTATATTGGATATTGGCCCAGAAACCATTTACAAACTGGTAATCTGAGCATCTAGAGCACCTACAGCTGGAGGATTAGGCATTAGGAGACAAGGTTAGGAAGAGAGGCCAGGGAGTGGCCTTAGGCAATAGGAAGTGCTTTGGGGGAGTAAGATGCCCAGATTTTCAATATTTTGCATGATTCATTTGAGGGTTCTTTATTTTATTTACTGCTCTTAAAACAGTGATTTACAACTAAATTTTAACATGTACTATAATTTCTGAGCTGGAGATTTAGACAGGGTTCCTCTAGACAATTCTGTTTTGGATGACAATGATTATGGTCACTTATTCATCCATGGCTAGGCTGATCTGAAAGTTCCAAGATGGCCTCACTCATGTGCTTGGTCCGTGAGCAGCAAGACAAGATCAGCAGGACCATTGTCATTCTCCTGACAGCCTCTTCAAGGTGGTCTCCTAAGCTGGTTGGACTTTGTGCAGTGTTAATATTTATTTAAAAATGATGCCATGCACACAACGATATTATATGAAAGAGATTTATTGGATGGGGGTGGAGAGATAGAGAGGAAAAGGAAAGAGAGAGACATGGTGGGGGGGCCCCATGAAAGAAAGTGAGGCGGGGAGAGCAAGGGAGGAGAGTAAGAGAGAGACAAGGTGGCAGGTTGGTCCTTTTATAGCTTGTGCATGCACGCAGCTGAACTGAGTCTGCCACACACCTGGCGGGCAACATGTGATGACATCATAGGTTACTAAGCAACCCAGAAGCAGGCTGCCTGTATGCTGACAAATGGTGCCTCAGCAGGTACAAAGTGGAAGCCCCACCCACCTCACCTGGGGCCACTTTTCTGTACTCTCATCTCAAGCTCAAATTCAAGAAGGGGACTAGATCTAATTTTACCACAAAGCATTTTGTGGCTGTCTCTAATCCACCCAGGGTGTATGGGCATATGAATGAGGGCTCCCAAAATTTTTTTACCTTGTTAGGTTGTGAAATTGCATCATCAGTATTTGCGTATGTATATATTGTTACACTTTTCCACCTTCAAGACAAAAAAAAAAGTATGCTTTCTTTAGACCTGTGTCAGTTGCTGGCACATAACTGACAGTAAACTGTTTACTGAAGAAATAAAGTGAACAAATTAGAATAATTAGTACCTCCTTAATTCCTGGATTTAGGGAGCCCAGAATAGCCAACTGCTTGATGTAATGCCATTCTCAAGATGCAGATCTTAAGAAAAGTTTGATTGCATGTGAAATAATTTTCCTTATGGACATTTTTTTGAAGGACCTTACTTTTCGGGAGACCAAAGGACAAGGAGAAAATGGATACGTATCTACAGTAGTATCCTAAATGCAAAAAAAAAAAAAAAAAAAAAAAAGTCAAGGATGCTTACAAATGATAGTCCTAATCTTTCCCAAAAATAATGGCATACATTTCTATCCTAAGGATAAGCACTGGGTACAGTCCAAAGAAAGGGAAAATTGTTAGGAACTGGGCTGATAAGGCATATGGGCTGAAGATCAAGGGAACTGAAGATAGCAGAGAGGGTATAGTTTAAATGGCTGATTATCTGGGTATAGTGGCACACGCCTTTAATCCCTACACTGAAGGAGGCAGAGGCAGGTGGAGCTCCGAGAGTTTAAGGCCATCTTGGTCAACAAAGTGAGACAAGCACAGCCAAGGCTACACAGACAAAACAACAACAAAATAGCTGATTAAAAAGTTTCCCGATGCTTAGGAAGATAAGAGCAGGTAAGAAATAGCTGGTAAGCTCTAAGAACAAAGTACAGAGGTCAGGCTGAGGACAAATGCCAGATTCCGGGGGAGTGAGCCCGGAAGGAAGGTACAGATGTCGTAGGTGGCTAGGGGAGAATGAAACACAGCCGAAACTTTGGGAGATGGGAGGTATTTCATGAAATGACTAGGATGAAGGCGTGGCTTTACCTGTGGGCTGCTTGCATATACAATGAAGCTAATTATCAGTGGAAAAGAATGAGAAGTCGTGAGCTCAGAGAAATCACTGACTCATCAACAAGGATGCTGCAACTATTAGATAACAGGATGTGTGATTAGCTGTAAGACTGACAGAGTTTCGGAAACATTGTGGGGCACAGGCAAGAAATTAGAATTATTTCCTGATTTAGGTAAACAGAAGCAGGCAAACTTTGTCTTCACTATCTGTCACCTTCATCCTATAGTATGTGCCATTAGCTTTGTTCACCCAGCCCTAACAGAGGTGGAAGGTGGGACGTGGGACACCCCTCTACCCATGCTTCTTCCTGTCCTTCCACAAACTAGTACTTATTTCAACCATATTTATTTAGAACCAACAAGATGGGACAACTGGGGGGAAAAAAAGAGTACACATCGCAATGTTTGATGGGGCTTTCCAGTGATAAACTCTTAATCAGAACGTGGTTATTTCAGGATAAGCTTTCTCCAGAGAAGTCTGGAAAATCAAGCAACTTCCACAGAGGGGGTGCTTCCTAGTGTCTTGCGGTTCTGGAAGTTTTTGTCCAACACTGATTTATCTGTTTAGGATTGTTTATCAAGGTGTTGTTTGTTTTGTTTTTCTTGTTTGTAGTGCATCTTTGGGATCTTATGTAAACCATGTGTATACAGATGTCCTTGGAGGTCAGAAGAGGGTGTTGAATTCCCTGGAACTGAAGTTAATATGGGTGCTGGGATTTGAACCTGGGTCCTCTGCAAACGCATCTGGGTTTTAACAGGTGAGCCATCTCTCCACTCCCTTTGCTTAGGATTTTAACTGCTCTCACAAAATGTGAGTTTCTTAATGCCGAGGCCTGAGCTAAGCCAGTACAGACAGCCACAATTGATAATGTGAGACAGGCAGCATAGACCTTTCTATTCCCCACCAAAGGGCCAAGGCCTGTGAATGGTTATAAGATATTGACTTCCTTCTACCCACAACCACCTTAGAGAAATTTGAAATTTTAGAGAAATGTTAGAGAATTCTAAATAAATGCAGGAAGGTCTGAGGAACATCATCTAAGAGACATTCAAGGATAACTGATACCGAATATGTACCATTTGTCAACCCCTTTTTGTATTTTAAATAACTTCATTTTTGCAACTTAGTAGGTCAGAACCTTTCTCCTCGTTTTGCAAATGAAAAAACTCCAAGGTCACAGGGACTGGAAGTAGCAGTGCTAGCATTTGCATTTAGACAGTCTGGGAGGTGTACCACGGACCACAATGCATTGCCCCCAAGCAACTCTAGCTGCACCTCTGTAAGATCTTCAATTGAACACAAGCCCTCCGAAGCCTGTCACCCCTATCTAACTTGTCACACCCTGAAGGTCAGCAGGCGGCAGCAGCAAGAGCTGAATTCATCTTTAGTTGATCAGCCTCAAGGATGTCTGGGACCCTTTTAGCTGGCGTTGGCGGTGTCCTTGCAGTGTTTGACCGACACCTAAGAGGTCGTGATTTAGATCATGGGGTATAGAGATAGGCAGCAGAGAGAGAAGGGGGGTAGGAAGAGGGATTGCGGTTTGATTCATTTTATTCCATCCTAACCATCAGTGTAACACAGAACTTTAAAATTACTAATTTTGGGGTATTATTTGCTTCTTAAATCATTATTGTAGACTACCATTCTTCCAAAAGTCCCTAGCCTTCATTGTGCTTCTTTCCTTCTTTGAGTCATTTCTTCACTTTTAATCGTTTTAAAAGTTTCTTTGGCCCCCAACTCCTCCCACACCAACCTCCATCCACCCGGCTTCCTGTCCTTTCGCTTTTTTAGAGGAAAACCAAACCCAACCCAACCCAATGATACATATTGGGAATGAGAAAACCGATTTTCTTCGGTGGAGTTTCACCGATTATATCAACCACACTCCAGCGCAGACCCCTTCCCCCGCAGAGGTTAACGAACACGAACTGTAGAGCTTCAAGCTTCTCATCTTGCTGGGGTGGGGGTGTACACACACACACACACACACACACACACACACACACACACACACGTGAGCCTTTAGGTTCATTTTCCAATCGAGGGCAGGATGGCGAATTACAATTAAACTGGTTTTTCCAATCACAGATCAGGAGGCTCAAACCGCAAAAAAACCCGAGTTTCTTGGCAAGTCACCAGATCTGGGGCTCAAGGATCACACCCAAACACCCAAACTCATTTACTCACAACAACAAACAACAACAACGAACTGGACAGTGGCAAGGTTCGTTTACGGAAACCCAGGACCGAAGCGGTCACCACTGGCGAGCGCAGTCCGGGCCATTAAGCCCTGCCCTGTCCCCGGGGAGCTCCCTGGCTCTCAGTCTCAAAGGCCTCCGGCAGTCTCCGGAGGCTCGCAGGCCCTCGGGGAAGCCAGCGCGGGGAGCAGGATCGCGGGAGGCACCCGGCTTGCGGTCTGCGACCCCAGGTCTCTCGGGAAAACGGAACCTTCCGCTCCGGCCACCCACCGAAGAGCGGCGGGGAAAGCCTTCGATCTGGCCTAGGAGAGGCGGCCGGGCTCAGCCTCCGGAATCCGGGACGCCGGGAGCCGCGTTACGGGAATCGCGGAGGCCCGCAGTCCCGCCCCTTCGCCTCCAGCGACCCCGGACCAATCGCCGCACGCTCCGGGACTGACCCCAGCCAATCAGCTCCCGGCCTTCGGCTCCTGGGGGGGCGGGGCGACGAGGGGCGGAGCTAGGAGAGCCAGGGTCAGCGGCGGGCGGTGGGCGGCGTGTGCCGTCGGGAGGCCGGAGCTTCGGAGCGAGCGGTGCCGCGGCGCGGCTGAGGGCCCGGCGGAGCGGGCCGAGATCGGTGGGCCCCGGAGCGGCGAGGCTCGCGGCCTGAAGGTAGGTTGGGCAGAGCCCCGGCGCGGGAGGGGGCGGGCTGCCTGGCGCGGCCGCCACCTGGCACCCGGGGCCCAGCGGGGCCGGGCTGGAGCGGCCGCGCGCTCGGCCGGAGCCCGTCGGGCCGGCCCGGGAATCCCCGCATTCCTTCCCTCCCTGCTCCCGGCGCCGACTCCCCCGGCGTTGTCACCCGCCGGGTCCCTGACGCACAGTTCCGGAGCCCCCGCCCCAGAGTCCCCTCGGGCTCGCGCGTCCCGGGTGACCGCGTCCTCCCGGCCCCACAAAGTGTGGTCCTCCGTGCCGCCCGGAATGCCACCGGCCCCGGGGCTCCTGCTCTTCCCTCCTTCGCTCTCGATATCTCTTATACCCGGAGCGAACTTTTCGCCCAGAAATCGTAACGTTTCGGCGTGGAAGAAAGTTCAGTGTTTATTAAATATTAGCCTTCCCTCCGGTCCGGTCTACGAAACCCTTCCTAATAAGGGACGCGTGCCTTCACTTCCCGAGAGCAAACCCATCTGGCTTTAAACTTTCACCTCCTAGGCATAAATCTCCCTCCACCCCCACCCCCACCCCCAAATAGCAGGAGGCTCTCCCTCTCCTCTCCTGGATGAACATTTTGATTCAGAACGCCAAACAAAAATAGGATGAAAGGCTTAGCCCACTTCTTGTCATTTATCCCTCAAAAGGAAACCCATTTGGGATTGATTTGTATAGTTATTGGACGTTCCAGCAGCTGTACTGTTTCAAAGTAGTCAGTTGATAACTGGAATGTCAGGGTGAATCTTCCCAAAGATTAAGCTGTTTTGGTCTGGCCAGTGCTGTAAACAAAACCTTTTAGACCTTGTGTGACTGCCAGCTTCCAATTGGAACAACTTTTAATTTGAAGTTACTGACTCATTATCAGAGGGGGTGAGAGCCGTCGTCTTAATTTCCTAAGTTTGCGTCCATATTTAACATTTGTAGTTGTTTTTGAACTATAAACTGGAATGCTGCACTTAAGGGACAAATATGACAGTAGGTTAAATTTAACCTACAATTGTGTTTCCCACCGGTTTCTTTTGGGGAATAACTGTGCCCATTTGCTTCTACTCAAAAGTGAACAGAAAAATGGCAGATAAGGATAGGCTTTCTAGTACAGTTTTTTTTCCCACTCTTTCCATCTGTATTATTGACGTAGATGTTTTAGAATATTACAGATACTGCTACCAGCTAATTTAATGCAGCATTCTTATGTAACTGGACGCATTGTTCTGTTTTATTTATGGCCGTGTGCTTTGATTTAAAAAAAATTTTTTTTTGAAGAGAATGACATTTTGGTTAAATACTAGGATTGATACTGATTATTATGTGTAACCTGTGAAGTCAGTGATATTTTTAGAAGAGGAAACAGGCTCAAAAGATATGACTCCAAACACTGTGCTCACAAACTGTCCTACTGACAGATTTCTTTTAGAGAATTCATTACTATAATTTGGTATGGGAAGTTGAATATTGCGTAGAACACTATAGGAGCAGGAAGGGGTTTTCCCTAGAAGTAATTTCAGATCTCATTTTGCTCCACATCACCTGTTCCTAATATATTTGCACCTTGTCTGCGGAAGGGGCAGGGAAGTTCTTACTGCTTTCTCTAAGTCTTTGATTGCAAAGGTGGCTTGGACACAGGAGAGGTGTCTGTCTGTTGAGATGGTTGTAGTAAGCGCTCAGCCTGCTGTGGATAGTGTCTAGGTTCTTCAAAGTTTGCAAAATTGGGTTGGCAAACTGTTGTGTGAAAAATTACTCAGATATGGAGTGGTTTCCATTAAATGATGAATGATACAGAAACTGCTGTGGGGGCTTAGGGACAGGATTGACATTCGGTGGGTTTTCAGGAGGTCAGCCATGAAACCTGGCTAAGGTTTGGATAAAGGGGAAACTAGAGAGATCCCATCCCTAAGTAGAACGGAGGCCAGAATGGAGACTGTAGAGCCTAGCGAAGGCCTACCATGTGCAGCTGCCATAATGTATTCAGTCTAATAACCAGTACTCACGCAGTTCGTGTGTCAGCCACTGTGTGAACATTTCGCTTATATTCATGTGTTCTTCATAGCCTTGTTGAAGTGGGCCTTACAAGCCTCTTTTACTCAAGGACAAACCCCCAGACATAGAAGCTAGGGATTCTATATTTATACGTAGATATCTTGAGTAGAGTTTAGCTGTAGTACATGTTGCTTTTTCATACTGTCTACATGGGTGACAGTAAAGTGATTATTTCATGTCTGTTAAAACTAATTTTTAGGCTGGGAATGTAGGCATTAAGTAGTAGAATGTGCCAGGCCCTCAGCACTGCATATATAAATATATTCTGTCAGTACCGCTTACCTATGTACATACATACACACATAAATTAGCCACTTAATATTATTATTGTTTGTTTGTTTGAGACAGAGTTTCTCGAGGACAGTTTTGGCTGTCCCAGACTTGATTTGTAGACCATGCTTGCCTTGAGCACATAGCAATCCACCTGCCTCTGCCTCCCTGCTTTCTGAGATTAAAGGGGTGTGCCACCACGCCTGGCTAAAATTAACCAATCTTTTAGCTGTTCACTAAATGCCTCAAGATTCTCAGGATACGAAATTGTGTAATTACCGTGCTACGTTTTAAATCCTTTTAGGGGGCTCTGAAAGTGCAGTGGGAACACAGATGTTTGTGAATGTGGGGGAAGTCCACAGAAGGGATGTTCACCTGGGTTATAAACAGTGCATCGAGGCAGAGTGATCGGGACACTGGCATTGTGGACTCAAACTGTAGTGCATGGACAAGCACCCATTCAAGGTGTGTTAGAGGACGACCCTAAGTTGTAACTTGAGCTTAACGTCTAGGTGTGGCTGGCATGAAGATGTTGAAAATTAAGACCAATTTGCTGAGGCCACACAAAAGGAGGAGCTTAAATATTTGCCTTGCAGTTGGAGAGCTAAAACAACAATTTCAGCAAAACTGGAGTAAAAAGCCAGATTGCTTGTAATTTTCTCCGGATTATAGCATGCTAGTTTGAGAAAAAGGCATCGAAAGAAAGGATTTTATTTATGTTGTGGGCTGAAGGTTGATCCAGGGCCTTTCCACATTGTAAGCAAGTGCTCTATGAACTATATACCCCAGGCTCCTCTGTTATTGATATTTAAAAATAGAACTGAGTATTGGAGATCAGTTGGACAGTTAGGTTCTCTGATAGTTTAAGTACTTGGCATTATTATTCACCCTTTTAAAACCTTTTGAGGAAGAATGGTGGCTTTGAAGTAGTGCTTCTTTTCAGAAGGTTGCTCTGGAAGGAAAGCAGCTGGGAGCTGGAAGCGAGGTACTGTGACCTGGTCCAGGAGGAAGTCGTGGCAGAGGAGCGGCTAGCAGCTACTGTGAGCGCTGTGATCAGGCCCAGGTCGAGTTGTTGATAAAGAGAGGCCGGTGAGAAGACGGAGGGGAAGGAGTCTGGGTAAGATTTGTGACAGAAAAGTCCAGTTGTGAGGGTAGATAAGAGAACAGCGACTGTACCGAGGCAGCTGACGGAGTAGGTTGTTTATAGGAGTGTGTGTATGGGATACGTTTCTGTAATTAAAAAACTCTGGTAATGCTGAGGATCATGCCTATGTGAGTACATGAGTGTACGTTTGTAGATAGCTTTTGAGGAGAGGTTTATTAAATTGATTTGCATCAGAGACAGACTATCTAAGATGATACAGATCTAGAATTGAAGATTCAAGCCAGAATTCTTGAAATTTGGTTAGAAGGTAAGGTAATAGTTGAAGTCATCACAGTAACTATTTTAAAAGAAAATTAGATCTTGAGTACTTTATCTTTGGGTCCATTCATGGCCAGGAGATAAAAGCTAACAGAGACTACAGAGAAGCAGATAAAGGAAAGAACCATCTCCACTATATGGTTTTGTTTAAACCAAGAAGTATGGAGAATTTGAAAAGCAGGGATGGTAGGTGGAAGGCTTCAGAAACATGGTGGTCTCACAGCGCTACCAGGACTTTCTCCTTCTGTGGCTAGTGAGTGTGTTTTAGAGCAATTTCGTGAGAAGTTCACTGATCTTGAATCGGAGAGCTGTATGTGTTAGTGTGTAGTGGGACTTTGGATTGCTGCTTTAAAGCTGCCTGTATTCATTCCAGAGCAAGAACTTAGATTCCTTTCAGTGAAACATGAGTTGCTAAAAACATGGGTTGTTAAAAGTTGAATGTCCTGCCTCCAAATTTTCAGACTCTCTGTGGTGGTCCCTTTCACCCTTTGTTTTGAGGAAGAGTAGATGAACCGTTACTTGTAAAAATGGTGGGTTGCTGCAGCTGTGAATAGTCGGGGGTCTTATACAGACTCCTTTCTTGTGCATCTTCTGCATCCCTCACTGCAAGCTGAGCTCGCAGGGAGCACTGCTGTTTGGTAGACCTTCTCACTGGTGGTCTTCAGCCACACACATACTGTTTTCTCATTCTCGAGACTCTCACTTTATTTTGTAACAGAGTGCTCTTTATAGCCCTGACTCGGACTTTCCCTGTTCCCAAAGCACTTTGCTCATATTTTACCTGTTAGCTTGGAGCTTCCTGGAAAGTGAGAACTATTTGGCATCAATTGTACTTGCAACATTTTGTTTTTTAAGTGATGAGGAGAACAAGGATCTTTAACAGAGTACTCATGAAACTCATTTGACTAAAATAAGCACGATAATTCGTAAAGACTTATGTCCTCAAAGTCCTAAGTGTTTCATGTTTTCCAATAAGTATATTGTGTGGCTTTTGCACTTATTTGCTAACTCTGGACTATGTTTGTATATTAAAAATACCTTTTTATATTTTTGCTCATTGGACCAGTTATCACAAAGTGTATCTTTGAATGATGGTGTAATTTTTTTAGTCAGATTTTGTTTTGTATGTCCTCCTCATGTTGCTTAGGCTAGGCGCCAAGTCTTAGGCTCAGCTTAGTTGCTTAGTTTCTTTTTTACTTTCTCAGCCCCCAGCTGAGACTTGCAAGTATGTGCATGACCAGCTTACAATTTTTAAGTTATTTATCTGTTTGTTTGTTTGTTTTGTGGTGCCAGGGATGAAAACAAAGTCATACGTCTGTACCACTGAGCTACATCCGAGTCCTATAAGCAACTAAATTGAATTTCTTTTATTTCATGTAGTTGACTTGTCTATTCTTCATGTTTTAACTCATGCATGTTTCAATTATCTTTACATGTGTGGATATATCAAAACCTTTTTGTTTGAAAATTGGCTCTCAGTATCTAATGTTTAATGTGAAATTTTAATTGATATGTAAAGCTCTATAATAAACTACTTTGCTATTTGGGTTAAAGTTGTGTTGCATTTTTTTATCATGAAATTCTTTAGTTCTGACTGGATATTTTTTTTCTATCTAGTCTTTCGGTGCTATTATAACCAGTGTTTTGTTGTGTTGTGTTGTTTCTTAGTTGGTTTTTGTTGATATGCAGGAGTGTGCTAGTTTTTAGGCAATCATTTGTTCAAACATTACATTGACTGTCTAGGGTTTCTGCCAGCTTTAACATTTTATCTGACATCGTAGCAGCTACATATTTCAAAACTGCTGAAAATTACTTATCCCAACAGTATAAAAGCTGTAAAAGAATAAGCAAATAGATGGGAACAGGCAAACTACAGCCCACCTCTTGGGTTTTGTTTTTGTTTTTAAATAAAGGATTGTAAGAACATAATACATGCGTACACTAAAAGCTTTAAATAAAATGACAAGCTACAAACTGTAGAAAAATTATGTGCAAATCAAATTTCTAACAAAGGATTATTTCTGGAATATATGTTCAAAACAATAATAATGAAACAAATGCAATTAAAAATTGGCAGACTATTTAAATAGTCAGACCATCCAGGAAGCTCTTTAGCTAAACCTGACACCTCCCACATGGCGCAGTCATTCTGCCCCCAGTGCTCACTTCTCACAAGCGTAGCATGTAACAGACACGGCACTGGTTGAGTTGCAGTACCGAATGTTATGCATACATTCGAATGTTGTTTCTTTATCTAATAAGCATAGTCTATGCTAAATACGGTTCTGAATTCTAGAGATAGGTTAAGAACACAGACAGAAAATTGTCTTCTTTCCTTCCGTTCTGATTGGGTTAATACACACAATGTGTTCGTTTCTTAGGACTAATGTAACAAAGTGCCATAATTTAGGTGGCTTAAACTTGGAAAATGATCCTGGGTGGTGGTGGTGCATGCCTTTAGTCCTGGCACTCCCAAGGCAAAGACAGGCAGACCTGCTACAGAGCGAGTTCCGGACAGCCAGAACAGCCAGAGCTGCTCAGAGAAATCCTGCCATAGATGGATGGATGGATGGATGGATGGATAGATAGGTAGGTAGGTAGGTAGGTAGATAAATTGATTTTACAGAAATGTTATTTTTTCCAGAAGCCAAAAGTCCTTCTGAGACTGGAAAGAATCCTTTGGCTCTTCCTACCCTCCACTAGTCACCATGTGTTGACATTTTTTAGCTTGTAACTACAGTCACCCCAGTCTCTGCCTTCTATGATACAGCACTGTTCTGTGTTTCTCTTATAAAAGTCTTATTGCTCTAAATATTTGTAGGATTATTTCATTCTGAAGTTCATATCTCTGACATGCTGTTTGGTGCAAACCTGAAAATGCAAGCACAGGTCCAGACGATCTGGAGTTAGGGAAGGAGAAGGAGTGACTGACCAAAATACATTGGGTGCACGTACGAAGCTCCCAAAGATTGCAGTAAAGAAGCACATTATCAGAGTCAGCTTCCTGAACAAGGCCCTTCTGTCTTCACAGGGAGACCCAACAGAAGGAACATGACAATTAGAAGCTGTGGACTTGTTTCAGATTCATGCTTTTTCATTTCCTAATTTTGTGAGTTGGGTAAGTTATTTGTGTTGTCTGAATGTTTGTTTTCTTTTGTAAAAGTCCAATAAATAATTCCTGCCTTACCTATCTGCCACCCAAGGATATTGGGAAAATGACGAGTGTGAGAGCTTTCTGTCTAACATAAAACAGTCCAGTGTCTGTTAGCATGAACTGGAAAAGAGGGACAGCTGGTTGGTTGTAAAATACCTTAATGTAGCTATGGCCAGTATTCGGCAGATGCATTCAGGGTAACAAACGCATTCTGTAAAAGACTACCCTGATCTCTGCCTGGCTCTCAGTGACCATGCTCTGCTTTTTTTCCGAAAGAAGGGTTCTGCAGCTCTAATAGTTCCCTTGCCACCGTAACAGTTTATACTGCCATCTTCTCGGCAACTGCAATCCGTATTCATTCTTCATTCTGCCCTTGGGTTAAAGTCTTAAAATGGAAATAAACTAAAAAGCCCCAGTATTGGCAATAAGAATATTTAAACTGGCATAGTTATTATGATGATGATGATACATATTAATCAGTTAGTTACAATTACGCTGCTTTTTTTTTCCCCAAGAGAAAAATCCTTGGACTGAATGAACAAGCAGCGATGCAGTTACTGCGTGTAGTTTTCAAGCATTTTCAAGCATTCACAATCTCTGCCGAGCATCACTCTTGTAATTACTGCGACACACCTTTCAGCACACCCTTGAGGAGTTACCAGTATAGAAGAGCCACTCAGTTCTGAAATAAACCTTCCTTGCATCAACAGATACGAGTCATTGTTTTAGCTTTTTTAAAGCTTCCTAGAAAGCCAAATTCAAGGAAGTCATTGTATGTAGTATTTTTATAGTATGTGCTTATTCTGCAAGAGCCGTGGAAGAAGAGGAACATTTAATAGCCTTTAGTTTGAATGTTTCTTCTTAACAGAATCAAAAGATAAATTTAGCAAATACTGTCCATTTTAAGACTGAGTAAGTCACAAGCAAAGTTAGTTGTATAGAATACATTTGTACTTTAATGTCCGACACTTTAGTAGATGTGCCTTCCTCACAACTCAGTGACAGTTTTAAAAATTAGGAAGTAATACTTTCTAGTCATTGCAGTGAAAGGCTTTTCCGTTTTCTCGTGGCACTGCCCAGTCACAAGCCCAGCTGCTCTAATTCTGTCTTGCATGTGAGAGTTAAACCATGCTGTGCATGCTTGTACATTCTTCTTGCTATGGCTCAGTTGGTCTGGTTGCTTCTCATCAGCTTTTGGTTGTGTTTTGGTTTTTCTTCTTGCTGGGGATTGAACCTGTGTGGAGCGCCTGAGCTGTGGAGCTGTACCTGCCTTGGGCATCCATGAAACATTCCTCAGTGTATACCTTTGGGAGATATTAGCACAACTTTCTTTCAGTGTATGTATACCTTGTCTGTATAGTGTTGTTGGGTTATAATTAATTAAGGCTTAATGTATACACTAAAAAAATCTGTGAATCATGATTTTTGCATACTGCTCGTTAAGAAAGCCCTGACTGCCCCACCCGTACAGTCATTTAGAGGATGCTGAAGTACTGTCTCACTTAGGAAGGCTTGCTTACAGTTTTCAAGGCTAGCTGTAATGACCTCTAGAGTAAAAGGCAGGCATGCTTCCTGCTGAGTTTAAGGTGTGGGTTCCTAAGTGTGATTGTTGTGTCCTGTGAGATTCACTTGCTGTCAGCAGGTGTCACCTGACATCACTGCACCCTGTGGGATGAGCTGATAGTTCGCAGGAGAAGCTGTTGCTGCTGCTCAGTCATGCCTTTTGTTCTTAACTCGGGGTCTCGTGATGCTTTGTGTTCATGAAACCGCTGCATAGCAGACAAACTGAGCCATAGCGATTAGCAAGAAGAATGTACCGTAGTGCAAAACTGCTAGGTAACATCAATAGTTAAGGAACAATCCCAGTTTTTATGATGTGAGATTATACATGCAGGTTACTGTGAGACGGAAGACTTCAGACATTTGTGCAGCCTTAACTTTACTAAACATACACAGAAAGATTGCCTTTCTGCATTCATGTGTGTATATTACCGCCTTCCAGAAAATAGCTCCACAATAGAAACACGCCTGTGTTTTAGCTTGTGTGTAAGAGAATGAGTTTTAAAATCATACATTGTAGCTGGGAGCAGTGACACACACTTGTAATCCCAGCGAGACAGAGGCAGGCGAATCTCTGAGTTCCAGGCTAGCCTGGTTTACATAGTGAGTCCAGGAGAGCCAAGGCTGCACAGAGAAACTCTGTCTTGGGAAAAACAAAACAAAACAAATTTTACATTGTTTGTTGTTACAGGAACATTCCTGCAAGATGTCAGCATTGAGGACTTGGCTAGTGCAAGCTGTGCTTATTTTCCTCACCACTGAATCTATAGGTAAGGTTCATGAAATGTCCCAACTCTGCAAATTACACTTATTTTTATATAGTATGTATTATATAATTATATAATATACTTAGAGTCTCTCAGGGGTCATTATTGAAAGAAGTGTCTTCAGTACAAATATGCCTGATAATTTGTTGTACATGGTTTGAGTTTCATCAATACTTAATAGTAATTGGCTATATTTCAATAATGTTAGGGGTGCGAGTGTGTGTAAAATGTTTTAAAATAAAGGAATGGGAGAAAAATCTGTTAATTCTTAGTACTTCTCCTCGGTTACCCAAAAGTCATCTTTCTGCAGAAGCTGTTCAACTCTTAGGAAGTCCCCAGCTCCCCTAGGGCAGGGGAGCCTCAACATAGTTTCTCCCTATGGTTGAGTGTAGTCTAAAAACAAAACAGTAGTGCCTAGAAGATGTTTCTCTTGCTTATTCTCAACCTAACCTGATGACAGCCTGAGATCTGGTGGTCCAAAGTGAGATGAGTGAAGAAATTAAGAATTTATATTTAGAAAATTAAAAAAAAAATGTGTATGGGTGTTTTGCCTACATGTATACCTGTTCATACACCGCATACATGCCTGGTGGCTGGTGGTGGTGGATGAGTGTGTTGACTCCCCTGGGACTGGAGGTACGGATTGTGACTTGGTGTGTGTACAGTGATAGAGTCCAGTCCTGCAAGATCAGCAAGTGTTCTCTCGAGCCCTTAGAAAACTTCTAACAGAGCCCAGGAGTGGTGGCACATGCCTTTAATCCCTGCCTCTGCATTTAGAGGAGGCAGAGGCAGGGGGATCTCTGAGTTTGAGGCCAGCCTGGTCTACAGAGTAATTCCAGGACAGCCAGGGCTACACAGAGAGGAATCCTGTCTTGACAAAACCAAAAAAAGAAAGAAAGAAAAAAAAAGGAAAAATACATAGCAATGGCAGGTTGGAGAAAATACCCGACTCTCACTGACAGTTTGAAGAGCACCACTTTAGGTTAGCTCTCTTCACACCAAGGAGTAGAGCTTCACTTTGAATAGTTGGTAAGTTTTATGTTAAACTGAAGCCCAAATAGGATGAGTAAGAACCTAGAAACCCACTAGCAAGCATCGGCGGGAAAGCAGCCTTAAGCTCCTGGGTGCTGAAGCTACAGAGAGAGAGAAGTAGAAGGTGCCGATGAGGCATCTGGCCTAAGGAAGAGCATGGGAGGTAGAGAAATGAGAGTAAGAAATAAAATTATTGAGCTAAGCATGCTGACATGTATCTGTAGTCTTAGCACTTGGAAAACTGAGGCAGGAGGATTACAAATTCAAGGCCAGCCTGAACTACATAGCAAGACCCTGTATCCTTATTTTGGAAATACTTATCAGACCAACATTGTTTGATACCAAAACCAGACAATGCATGAATGTGCAAGCTATACGCCAATATCCTGATAAATATAGTTGCAGATATTCTTGATAAGATGCTAGGAATGGGATCTATCAGCACACTAGAAAGATTATTTAATCAGATTAAATGCATTCATTACAGAGGTACAAGGTCTATTTACCATAATGAGTAAATGAGACTGACAACACTGACAGGTTAAAGGATAAAACCCGTATATTCATCTTAGTAGATGCATTTGATAAATATTATGTAAAATCTGTCATAACCTAAAATAATGAATTATGTATAGAAGAACATTTCAGTATTATAGTTTTACAGACACACACACACACACACACACACACACACACACAGAGCTCAAGTCCAAGTCCACAGCTAACATGCTGAATGGTGAGAAGCCAAAATCTTTTTCTCTAAGATCGGATACCAGATAGAGGCGTTATTTTCATTACCTTTATTTCTAACCACCTCTATTAAATATGTTAATTAAAGATCTAGCCGGAGCAATCAATCAGACAAAAGAAAGGAATATAAAAGGTATCTAGGTTGGAAAAGAGGATGTCAGACTGTGTTACTGTAGATGGCATAACCTTATTTATAGGAATCCCAAAGAGCCTGCCAACAAAACACAGAACTAATCACTGAATTCAGAAAAGTTGCTGAATACAAAATTAACATTCATACGTCAGTAACATTATCATGTACTAATGGTAAAGTATCTGAAAAGCAGTTGTATTTACAGTAGCTCCAAAAATAAATACAAGTAAATTTAGTCAGAGTTAAAATATTGCTCAAATATAAACTATAAAAGCTAATGAAATTTTGAAAAGGACATAAAAATATGGAAAGGCAATCCATAGACAATATGGAAAGACAATAATGTATGAATTAGAAGAAATCAATATTGTTGCATTTTCTGTACTTTTCAAAGCAATCTGCAGAATTAGAAAAAAAAATTCTAAAATTTATATGTAACCATAAAACACCCAAATACCCAAAATAGTCTTGAGCAAAATAGAAAAAAATGGAGACATTATACTTTGTAACTTTAAAATATTTTGCAAAGCTACAATAATTAAAATAGCATAGTGTGAGCAGCTCAACAAGGAGAGCAACAGAACCAAAAAAATCTGGGCCCAGGGGTCTTTTCTGAGACTGGTACTCCAACCAAGGACCAGGCATGGAGATAACCTAGAACCCCTGTTCAGATATAGCCCATGGCAGCTCAGTGTCCAAGTGGGTACCCTAGTAAGGGGAACAGGAGCTGTCTCTGACATGAACTCAGTGGCTGGCTCTTTGATCACCTCCATCTGAGGGGGGGCGGCATTGCCAGGCCACAGAGGAAGACAATGCTGCCAGTCCTGATGAGACCTGATAGGCTAGGGTCAGATGGAAGGGGAGGAGGACCTCCCCTATCAGTGGAGGGGCATGGGAGAAAAGGGAGGGAGGATGGAGAGAGGGCACGAGGCAGGGGGCTACAGCTGAGATACAAAGTATATAAACTAATTAATAAAAAAATTAATTAAAAATTGTTTTAGATAGCATGGTGTGAATTCCATGGAAGCATACTCAGTACTAATCCTTAGGAAAGTGCCACCCAAAAATCACAGCAAGGAATGACCTATTAGAGTGACTTATCAAAGAAACATAACTGCTGGCAAGAGTACAGAGAAAAGGAAACCAAACATAGTATTGGTGGGATTTTCTGTTAGTACAGCTATTAGAAAAACCAATAAGGAAGGCTCTTAAAGAAAAAGCAGTTCCATAGCAGATTGTCATAGTTCATTTTCTCACCGCTACAACAAAATATTTGACAAGCAACTGGGTCACTCTATGCATGCACTTAGGAAACAGGTGAGCGCTAGGGCACAGCATGCTGTCTGCTTTAACTCATGCCATGGTGCCACCTGCATTTACAAGGGTCTCTCTGCCTCAGTTGGCCCAATCTAGAAGTTTATTGACAACTCGGTGTAAAGCAGTCACATGAGATCCTGCATTCTCACTGCTGGGTAAACACTGGAAAGGAGGTTGAATCAGTGTGTCAGAATGAGGCCCGCATTCCGGTTCCTATTGCAGCACTATTCACAATAGTGCTCATCGTGGAGTACCATTCCCTCTTTACAAAATGGCGACATTCTGTCATTTGGGACAAGATACATGGAACTGAAAAAATGTTAAGTGAAAAAAGCCAGACACTGAAAGATAAATATCACATAATCTCACCTGTGAAATCTAAAAAGATTGATTTCATAAAAAATTGAGAGTAGAATGCTGCTATTCAAATACCATTTTGTGCTGGAGATACTGTCATTGGTTTTTTGTTTTGTTTTTGTCTTGTTCTTGTTATAGGGCCAGGCATTGAACTCAAGGCATCATATGTGCTGGGCAATCCCAGGCCACTCAGCACAGTCTGTTGTTGTTTTTCAGGTGAAATTTTGGAACCCTGTGGTTTTATCTACCCCGAATTTCCAGTTATACAGCGTGGCTCTAACTTCACTGCCATTTGTGTGCTAAAGGAAAAATGCCTTCGGCAGTACGATGTAAATGCTAGTTATATCGTGTGGAAGACAAATCATGTTGCTGTCCCCAAGGAGCAGGTCACTGTCATCAACAGAACCACGTCCAGTGTCACCTTCACAGACATCATCCTCCAGGCTGTCCAGCTCACCTGCAATATCCTGTCATTTGGGCAGATTGAGCAGAACGTGTATGGAGTCACCATACTTTCAGGCTGTAAGATTTGGGTTTTTTCAATTTTTCCAGACTCTTGAATACATTTTTAATGGTTTCTGTTAGCCTTCCCAAGGACAGTCACTTGGTTCAGTAGCTTTTGGATATACTTATTTTATAAAAAACGTTTAGAAGTACCGTGTACGTTTTCACTGTTACACACAAATCCAAAAGAGGAACACGGGTGTTAGTTCTCTGCTAAAGGACTAACATTTGTCAGCTACTTGAAAAGGGCATTGGCCGGAGACTCTGTGTGACCCCAAGTGTGTTACTGATTTGCAGTCCATGTCTGTTCTCCGTCTCCACATTACTGAGGGAAAGGCTCCAGTTAAACAGGCCCCTAAATGAAGAAAACAGAGAAAAACTAAAAAATGAGGCCATGGATTTGAAGAGAGCAAAGAGGGGTAAATGGGAGGGCTTGGCAGGAGGAAAGAGAAGAGGAAATAATTTAATTATATTCTCAAAAAAATATTTTTTAAAAAGAGTGGAACCAGTGACCCAGACCTGTAGGGGTCAGCCAGGAGTTACATAGCGTCAGTATTTGCTTCTCTTCCAGTCCTGCAGAAAGCAATAAAGACAAATTCAGCAGCCGGATGTGGTGGTGGGTGCCAGTCTTTCCAGCACTTGGTTTATGGAACAACGTGGAGAGTTTGAGGCCAGCTCTGCCTACAGAGTAGGACCCTGTTTCAAAATGCAAAAGTGAAAAAGTATATGTGAATCATTTTGGCTTCTATAGCTGCCTTTTAATATTACTTATTGTTCGTATTAAAACAGTACATGGAGACATTATTGATGCTTTATCTGATTATAAATAAAATTTTATTTTCATATAGAAAATTAATATGAAAGTAATTATAGACAGTAACACTTAAAAATATACTTAATGACAAAAAGTACTTAAGAGGTTGAAGATGGACTGCAGTGGGGCCACAAAATGAATAAATTGAAATAGATAGATAGATAGATAGATAGATAGATAGATAGATAGATAGATA